CTTATTGCGAGTGAGCTCCATATAATCGGCTGGTAAATTAATATTTGTTGTCACACATATATACATATAAGGTTTTAAACGTTCCCTCTTTTGGAATGTAAAAAAAAAAACATTTTCTGTATCATGAAAAGCAATTTTTCGTAGCTTGCAACTTTACTTAGATCGCCAAGACTCTTGAAAACCTACATTTTTCACGGAACCCGATAGCTGATAAATTCTAACTTAGCAATTAGAAATTTCAGAATTCCCCCTCCTCCTTCATCCCTTTAAAAATTTCTGGCTCCCCTCCCTGGTTCTAACATTAGATCTGTGCACAAGTTACTCTCAACTAGGTAAAGAGTGATCAAAAACTGCTCCTGACTTATCAATTTTTGAATTAGAGCAGGAGTGTATAATCTTTTTTTTCTAGTCGGCGTTTATTGTACGACAAAAACCTTCTAAGTTTTCATGACATACATAGCCATGAAGGTGAGGTTAGGGACCTCTCTTTTGAAATGTAAAAAAAACATTTTCTGTATCATACATAGCATTTTACGTAGCTTGAAACCATTATTACACCCTTAACACTCTTGAAAACCCATGTTAACATGGTACACATAGCGCCAGATTGGGTACACATAACGCCAGATTGGGTGGACATAGCGCCAGATTGGGTACACATAGCGCCAGATTGGGTACACATAGCGCCAGATTGGGTACACATAGCGCCAAACTTGATACACATAGCGCCATATTTGGCTCACATGGAGAAAGTTAGGCCGGAACATTCCCGTTTGCAAGGTAAAGAGGGCATTTTTCTGTATCATACATAGCATTTTACGTAGCTTGAAACGTCCTTTAGAGCCTCAAGGCTCTTGAAAACCTACGTCTAACACGTACTTGCAAATTCCAAATTTCAGAACACAACCCTCACTTTTAAAAATTCTTGGCCACGTCTCTAATCACAAGTAACCTCGACACTCTAATTCCTTTTTAATAATTTTATTTTGCCTCAAAAGCGCGTGGAATGTTGATACTCGTTTATCGTAGACAATGTTTATTTTGGGTCTCGTTATCAACGTCATTGCTATAAACACTATCTTAATTTCTCGGTAAAGAAATTTCCAAGCCGAATTTTTTTTTCAAAAATATTCATTTATGTGGAATTCTTTACTACATATCGTTTTCGTGATTGTATTAGATCTTTTGTACAAAGCCCTCGCTAACCCGCCAACGTTCAAAACAAGAAAATTAGTAATTATCCTGTTTGGATCTGGGTTGAAAATGGAGATTGCGCTGAATATTTCATATTCTAACCCTAACTGAATATTTACTAATTTGGTATTTGTGGCGGGGATGTTTTCTCGGCACTCCAGAAGTGTGTGTACTAATATAGAGGTAGCTAATTTTGTTGGCCTATTTTACATCAAGTTGTGTAAGGGGACTGAAACCAATGAGCAGGGGGATATTCACTTGGCTAACACAGACAGTCACCGAACTCGTAATCGAACTAAAATAGGAAAAATTGGAATAAAATTATGGACTAACCCTAACGCCACTAACCCTGGTGTACACACTTCGGACGTACCGTTTCCTCAAACCTCATATTTTTGCGTTAGTGGCGAAGGCTTTGTACACACAATTCGTTGTATCGAATTGAACTGCACCAAATCTCGCGGTAGTCGGAGTTTTCTTATGTGCACGGCGCGCAGACAGCGTGCGCTAACATGTAATTCTAAACAGTTTTCTCCTGGCTTTCTAACGGTCGCCTTTAACTGCGTTCACAGATGATTCTCACTTGCTTCTGATTGAAGGCCGCCATGTTTTAAAGTAACAAATTAGTATTTATCTAGTCAGGGTTACGAATGGTTTGAAAACTTGGATTTCCGGCGCAATATGTATTCCTAACCCTTACTGGATAAGTACTAATCTTCCTAGTTTAAGTATACAACTTCAAAATGAATCGAATACATAAGATTTTGTTGCCGTTCTCGGTAAGCTAGTGCCTACAACGCTTACGTAAATGTCGCACTGAGCTACATACTTTAGGAGTCTTAGTTAATTTTGTTTTTTTCAAGGATTACGTAATCTGTAATGAGTATTAGTCCGACTCAGTTTGTTTTGATATTTAATGGCAGTCAGCATTACTCCTTAATTTTAATTTGTATGATGGGGCGTTGACTGGATATTTTCATGTCGAATGAACGCTTGTAACTCTTCTATTAGTACCTTTTCTACTTTTAGTTGGGCGCTCGTAAACTTGTTTTGAGAAATCTCTTTTTATGACTCTTTTTTTTAAACTCTTTTATCAGTACTTATTTTATTTTTACTTCAAGGCTTGGAACTTTGCTTTGAGCAAACTTGCAACTCTTCTATCAGTACCCTTTCCACTTTTAGTTGAGTGATTGAGACCTTGCTTTGAGCAAACTTGCAACTCTTCTATCAGTACTCTTCCCACTTTTTGTTGTGTGCTAGGGACTTTAATTTGAGCAAACTTGCAACTCTTCTATTAGTACTTTTTCCACTTTTAGCTGAGGCCTTGGGACTTTAATTTATGTAAACTTGCAACTCTTCTATCAGTACTCTTCCCACTTTTTGTTGTGTGCTAGGGACTTTAATTTGAGCAAACTTGCAACTCTTCTATCAGTACTCTTCCCACTTTTTGTTGTGTGCTTGGGACTTTAATTTGAGCAAACTTGCAACTCTTCTATCAGTACTTTTCCACTTTTTGTTGTGTGCTAGGGACTTTAATTTGAGCAAACTTGCAACTCTTCTATCAGTACTTTTCCACTTTTTGTTGTGTGCTAGGGACTTTAATTTGAGCAAACTTGCAACTCTTCTATCAGTACTCTTTCCACTTTTAGCTGAGGCCTAGGGACTTTAATTTGTGTAAACTTGCAACTCTTCTATTAGTACCCTTTTCAATTTTTGTTGAGTGATCGGGACTTTAATTTGAGCAAACTTGCAACTCTTCTATCATGAGGACTTGGACTAATACTGCCACACTGAGGCCCAGGGGCGTAGCTAGGAATTTTCAAAGAGAGAAGTATGTGTTCTGAACTTTCTAATTGCCAAGTTGGACTGCAAAACGAGACCAAAAAACAAAGGTTTTAAAAGCGTTTCAAGTTACAAAAAATGCCTTTTTATTATTTACATTTCAAAAGCTCTCTCACCTGACTATTCCGCTGCTGTTAGAAAACATGCATACAAAATAAATAGAAAATATTTCAAACGTTCCATCAAAACATCTTGATACTCTTTTCTCTTAGTTTATCTACTTACAACGGATTAATGTCATAATAAAACCGCAACACCAGCTGATTAGTAAGTCAGGCGCCAGTGGCTTAGATGCAACAATACATCATAACCACAATGTGTGTGTTCCATGTCTGTGTTTGTATGTGTTTTACATTTATTGTTGTCAATATTTTGAGTTTGATGAGCTCTGCATGTAAATTATTTCTGTAGATGATGTAGTCATGCGAAATGACGAGTGCCTAATAGTAGAAGCATTTGACTTTATTACTTTGGCATCGTAGAAATCCTGTGTTCAAATACCATGACCCTCAAATTACCTGGCCCTGTGCTTGTATGTGTTTTACATTAATTGTTGAATTGAGTTCCACGAGTACTGTATGTAAATGTATTCTTGAGATTTGACGGGGAAGACTGACTGTTTCCAGGCAAAGGACAGATGGCCTGCAGGTACAATCACCCCGATCTCACCCATGATGTGATTAATTGGCAAGGCAACATGGTAACGTAAATTGGCTCGGGGGTGAGGCGCATTGTGATTAGCGTTCGGAATACGCTTTCTTTTTACGCTCGCCACCGCATCTCTGTTTGGGATAATTATAAGCTTGGGATTGCTGGACTCCTTGCCGACGTATGGTGGTTCACGTAACCGCCGGTCAGTTACAGCTACTTCCACCATCAAGTCTATACATCCGAAAAAAAAAACTAACTAATCCCACACCCGACATGGACTGATAACCGGACGAGAGGCCGTGATTCACCATACCATTAATCCGCCTTATAGGCTTTCCTCCCCTAAATCATGTTCTATCTCCAGAATTACAACTGATAACCAACTGCTTCATTTGGTACAGCAAGGTGATTTTCCTGAGTCCTGCCTATAATGCGTTACCCCCCCCCCCCCCCCCCCCCCCTAAATTTCAACCATTCACCCAACCCTAATTTTGAGGTGTGACACCCAAAAGTTGCACATACATCGTTGTTGATGGTCAATCAAATACATAACACATATCGCTGATGACAATTATTTATCACCCCCGAGAGCGTACTGGTCCAGACGCTTCGAGTTAGACAGTGAAAGAAATGGTAACTGAGCAACTGCGATTGGTGACCGTTCATTTAAACCCACGTACATTTGAACCCATGTGTACATCCGCGGGTTCAATCTATATGCGGGTGCTAAAACCCATGGGTTAGGGTTAGTATGGGTTCAAATATCCGTAAAACAAAAAAAACTCCATAGGTGCAATATTATGCAGCTGCAATTGTCGTGCGTTCAAATGTACGTGGACCACTGCGATTCAATTAGAGGTGGGCTTTTCGAATCGAATATTCGAATCGAATAGTAAATTATTCGAGTCGGTTCAGAGCTAAATTTAGAATCGCCGCCATCTTGTTTTATTATTCCGCTAATGGTCGAGGTGAATTCCGCAATTTTTTTCTCATTGGCGTCATATTTTTTCAACGAAATTCTAACATATGACTATTTTCTGTAGTGAGTTATTGATAAAACGTGTTTGTTATTCTGTGTGAACGCTCAGTAATCTATCTGGGTGATTTATTCTATGTCTTCAGTAATTCATTTCTTGAGAGGACCAATTACTATAATAAAGTCGCTTACAATTATATATTTTCAAGTATTCGAGATTCGATTCGATTCGAAAAAAATTATTTGATTTGATTCTGAAATCACAAGATATTCGAAAATGCCCAGCCCTAGATTCAATGCGGCGTAACCGCAAACAACCTCAAACAAAACCAAGAAATGTGGAAATACTGCTTTTATTATAGAAAATTGCACATTAAAATCAATAATAAAAAATGAAAACATTAAATACGAACTGATGAAGAAGTAGTAGGAACCTAAGCTAAGATAAACAAAATGGAAAGTGACAAAAACAAAATTAAATTTTTACCGACTTTTTACAGGATACCGTAGATTTACTGTGAATTAATATTAATCTTAATATCGTGTTTTCTGAAAATAGGACAGGGTCTCATTTCAATTTTCCTTTAAAAAATAACAATGGGACACTTATCGAAAAAAAAATTACAAAGTGGAGCATTACTAGATTTTCAAATATATAAAACATGAAAATCTATATCCATTTTTTTTTATAATTAACACGTTTATATTTAAAAAAAAAACGCTAAACAAAGATTATTCGAAAATGGCCAATCATGTAAAACGTGCAGGAGAGATTTCTTGCTATCGACTAGATCAAAAAAAATTCACGTTATCGACTGGATCTTATTTTAATGTGGGAAAAACGGTAATAGTGCAACATTAGTTTTCAAAATTTAGGTAAATAGATTTTGATCTCACACGAAAATATTCAAATTTAAATCCAATGAAAAAGATTTTAGACTTTCATTACTTTTTAGTCTCAACAACCCTTTAAAATACTATCTAGATAAAAAAAATGTAATAAAAATGAAATTCATGAGCAACAATAATGAATAACTTTTGGATAAGCTTGCAATTCCGAGCGAGATATATTAAGTGTTCCCTTCAGGATATTTGACTCACAGCATTTTTCTGCATCGTATCCTTACACGCTTTTTACACCCCAAAGACTCTCTATTTATAAATTTCATCGTTTTCCGGACCCGTGTGTCTCAGACTCGATGTCTGCATCATGGGATTTTTGAATATCTCCTGAATTATGGCCATACTATACTGTAACGACTTTTAATTCTCATAACTTGTAGAAGTATTCTACTCGAGAATTATTATTTGTAAGTTATAGCTAGTTCGATCAGTTCAGATAAAAGCCGAACAACGACCCAAAGATCTTTTACGTCTCTTTCTAAGAATTTGATATGAATCCCTCGAAATCGAGACAAACTATACTGTCACTCCAATACCGATGACATTAACTTGTTGAAGTTTTTGTCTCAAAATCTCAGCTCCGTTGAGAAGAATATTTTGTGTTGTATGCTCTGTGATTCCCATCTCATCAAGTTTGCTGAAAAAATATAGGAATGTGTTAATAAGTGAGTCTTTATCGAGTGCAATGACCTGGTAACCTAGTGCTAGTAGCAATTGCCAGGTCTAGATTAGTACCCATAGCTTGCTAGACTTCGGGTAATTGTCTGCGTGTTTTGAACAACCATCCGTATATTTTGGCGGGCCTTATTATGTCATTGTGACGTCGCAGCGATGCAATTTTTAGATGGCAAAGTCAGGTGGGGTTAGAAATTACCAATTGCCTAGCTAGAGAAGTTGGACTTAGGTATAAAGGCATCTCAGATGATTGATTTAACGCTATGCCCTCACTCCGCTCAGATTGGGAAGGTAATCCAAACCCGAAAAACTCGGTTCTTCAAAGTATAGTAACTAGAATCAGGGTGCGTATTCGAGGTGTTGAACGCTTCATAAAAAGGATTCTTTTGAAATGTATTCTACGTCTTTTTTCGAATAAAGCTTTGTAAAATGACCAATAATAGGCAGGTTTAAAGTACCGTAATATTGACTGTTTAACTTACTTTGGCGTCAGCCTTATGATTTGCTCAGCAGTTACACATCCATTTCTTAGCATGATGTCTTTATATTGCGTCATGTTCATGTCTTCTAACCATTGGCCAAGAGACGACAAATCGAGGGATTCAGGGATGCATTCGGCTTGCTCGTGAAGAGGACTGGGAAGAGAGAAAAGAGTTTTAGTAGGGATTTGGAAAGTTTTTGTGGGAACGAAATTATCCGTCTCGTAAATTCACGCGGAGAGGATTGGGAAGAGTGACGAATGACGCAACAGCCGAACCTCCACAGGGTGTGCAATTTGTTATGACGTCACTGCACACACTAATCCCTTTGAGCCAACAGTAATTTTTAAAATAAATAAAAGTAATAGAAAATTTCCAATCAATTGGTTCAGTAGTTATAATGAGTAACGCGATTTTTTTTTCATAACGATAAGAAGAAAAATACCAACAGCAACAACAACAACATAATAAAAACAATACTATCCATATGCACATTTCGTGTCCAACAAGTAACTTCACGTAGGACACTGGCGGAAAAACTACTCACATATTGTTTATAGTGTCTTGAAGTTTCTCTGGGTTGGTCAGAATATTATCAAGCTGTGAGACTATCTGTGTGAAGGTGGGTCTCCTTGTTCGATCCATATTCCAACAGTTTAACATGAGATTATGAAGAATCCGGGGACAGAAAGGTGGTGGAGGGAGTCGATATCCGTTTTCTACGCAGTGAACAACCTGTTATGAAAAAGTAAATTATTGGTTAGATAGTTTATGGATTTCAAGGAAGGAAAGGAGTGCGCTCCAGGAGTGTGTGTACCAATATGAAGGTAACTAATTTTGTTCGTCTACCTAACATCAAATTGTGTAAAAGGACTGAAACTAATGGACATAGGCTATATTCACTTGGCTAACACACAGACAGTCCCCGAACTCGTAATAGAACTAAAATAAGAAAAATCGGAATAAAATTATGCCCTAACTCTAACCTGGTACACATACTACGGGAGTACCAAATTCTGGCCCGCATACGTTTGTCAATTAAAATACTCACGTCGGAATTTGTCATTTCCCAGTAAGGCCTTTCCCCGTGAGTTAGAACCTCCCACATGACGACACCAAACCCCCATACGTCACTTGATGACGTAAATGTTCGCTGGGTGATAGCTTCAGGTGCTGTCCATCGTACTGGTATCATTCCACCCTGAACAAATTAAAAACAGTTTAATATTAATAATCGTGAAGGATTTGATTACAAATAAACAAATTTGCAATCAACTGAAAAAATAAACTAGAAATTATCTCCGACAAGACTTTTAAAATAAAATTGAATCTGTTGCTCAATACTCGGAAGCTTCCACACTTCGGTAATTTTCATTCTAATTATTAAAAGGACAGTGTCCATTTTCGCAGAACGATTTTGTTTTTTCTTGTATTTTTTCCTCACAATGAAACATTAATGGGTAACGAAAAAGAGCCACAAAAAAAAGGTTGAGAACCACTGGTTTTGACTCTTTTTCATAAAAGATTATTTAGGATGATCAAATACGGAACGATTTGGAATAAAGCTCCGGATATGAGGTAACTTAACAGAGCTGGATTTTGATAGTTTGTCCCTGGCTGGAGTTGCCGTAGTTTTGGTCGAATGAAAATACAAATTGGAAATGGATAGTGAAAATTCATATTTTAAAACAAGTAAACATGACCATTCTAACCTTTGTTGTATAAATAGCTGTATCTTCATCTTGTATATTCTCTAGCTCTCTACTTAGTCCGAAGTCAGATACTTTACATATCAACTGATCATTGACCAATATATTCCTTGCTGCGAGATCACGATGAACGTATCCCATGTCAGAAAGATATTTCATCCCATCGGCTATGTCTCGAAGCATGTTGACAAGCTGGTAGACTTCTAGCTCAATTCCGCGGAGATGGCGTTCCTGGATGGTCCAAAATACATTATTAGAGCAATATATATGTAGGTTAGAACAAGGTACTTAGAGCTTCCACGTGATGGGCGAAATTATCGTTATCGATTCATTTTCTATGTTCCATATAAAATACTTTTAGTAATCTGATTGAGCCCAAATTTTCAACTTGGGACGCTGAGATGTTTTAAAATTCATTCCTACACACTTTTGTCATTGCATACACTTGTTTTCATTTATATCATAGATGTAGAAATTTGCAGGATAAAGTATCCACAGCAAATTGAGAGAGAAAATCAAAGAGGGCGTCGGTGCCCAGATTGTGGTGTATTGGTCAGTCGGCACTGATGGGAGGGGGGGGGGACTTATCCTCTAACTTAGTCCAAATGAACCTATTGCTTTAAACATGAAAGGCCTAATAAAATACAGTTCTTAATTAAAGTTGGAATCCCAAAAAGCAAATATGCCTCACCTCTAAGAATTTATCCAGCGCGCCATTTGCCATATATTCTGTAATTATCATAAGGGGCGTGGTCCTTGTAACCACGCCTTCCAATCGTATGACATTCGGGTGAAGAAACTGTCCCATAACCAGCGCTTCTTCTAAGAATTCTTGCTTCTGTTGTTCAGTGGCTCCTTGCTTTAAGGTTTTGATTGCAATCAGAAGATTACTTGACCTTATTGACGTCGTTGTTGTTATTGTGTCGTCATAAATGAAGCTTGTTGGACGAAGATAACCTTTATATACGTCTCCGAATTCGCCTGAAATATTTGAATTTAAACGTCATTTAAGATTGGATATGACATGGTTTCTTAAGCGGATTGACGGTAACTTGACTGCGATGACGCATTTATTCTTTTATTTTTGGTAATTGACTTCTTATTAGTAAACGTGGCTAATAAAAGACATGATGCGAAAAAACTTGGTAATTTCATAAAATAGCAGGGTGTTAGGGTGTTATTCTTGCAGACGTTTCGAGAATCTGAGTCATAAGGTATATATTAGCTGCTTAAAAACGATTCAAGCTTCAAGAAATTGCCATGTATGATACACAAAAAGATTATTTTCTTAGCATTTCAAAAGGGGGGGGGGGGGGGGGGTCCGACCTGCAGCTAGGTACGCCCCTGTCGTCAGATAACAGTGGCCACTGACACAGAGTCTTGATCAGAAATAATACAATGAACAAGCGTTGTGTTAAAAATAGATTATATAATCATCAACAGGCTAGAGAAAAAAATCATTTCAATAAATAGAAGAACATGTCAAACACTAACCTGATGCCATTAGATCTTCTTTTTTGATATTAAACGGGTCAATCTCTTTCGCAAGTTCATGGACGGCATTATCTGGATTCCCATATGTGCTTGGATCAACAAAGGATCTACGCTCACGATGGGCGTGGAGGAGATCTACTGTAAAATAATGAAAATGGTTTCGCAAAAATAATGTCCTGTTAAAGAAATGATGCGAAACATTTGGAACAAGTTTTAGAGCATTGGTTCTCAAACGGTGGGGTGCGCCCCACAAGACAAGTGCAGTTTTAAGTATTCTGTGGCGTCTGCAGCTGCCGCAAAACCATGGCGGTATTCCCATACTATGGCCGCTACGGCCAAACTTATGGCGACTGACTTTCTAGCTGCCACAAACCAATGTCCAGCTGCCGTTACCGAGGCAGCAAATTGAAAACCTATGGCAGGTAAAATTTTGCTGCCGTAACCGCGGCAGGTGGGCCGTAAAGACAGGGCTGTCTTATATGGTGACAAATATTGGGTAAGTTAGAACGTTTTTCTTATGGATACAGTTTTGATGGATTTGTGGTTAGGGTTTAAGTAGATATAATTCCACATGATCAATTAAAATCTGGTATATTAATTCGTGAATATACCGTTAATACTGATTACTGAATAGCGCTATAAAACCATGGCAAGAGCTGCCGCGGTTTGTTCGTGGCTGCAATGAAGTGGTAAGAACTGCGCCTCCCACAAGAAGGGGCGTATGAAATATTTTGAGAGGGCGTGCATCCAAGTAAAAATATTTGTTCGATTTGAACTTTCCCGCCTTATTTTGGATATTCACATTTCAAAACTTTTTATTCATTCCATTATTTACGTTACATTTCACGTATTTTCAACCTGTTTTTTGAATGAAACACTTCCGTTTTACTATCTTTTATTTGTAGCTTATTGTTAGCAAGTTATTTTTGAGGTGGAGCGCGAGACTTGACAATTCTAAAAAAGGGACGCGACTATAAAGGTTTGAAAACGACTGGCCCAGAAAGAACAGAACTGTTCTGTAAAGTAAGTAAAATAAGGCCTTGTGTACATACCAGCATTGTCGAAAAACGGATAAACTTCCAGATCTGCGCAGCCATATTTCGGATTCCTATTTCTTCTTTGTTTGATCACAAAAAGGGCGGCTACAACTACTATAAGCAATGCGCTTGATATTGCAATGATAAGAGCCACTGGGAGATATTCCGTCGTGATGACGTCAGAAGTTGATGACGTCATATCTTCTACATCGCCACGTGGTTCGACGAAAGGTGAACCGCCAATGTTTGCAGGATTTGGAAAATGGAATTCCTTAGTATCAAGTGTGCTCATGGGCACCGGAGGACTAAAGGGCCCGAAACCAGCGCCATTTCTTGCACGGACCTGAAAGAGAGAAAAATACATGAAATTAATAATTTCCATTTATTGAAAGTTATATCTTGTTTTTGCTTAAGAAGTCAGACTATGATATAATAAAAGCTACAAATATATTTGCTATTGCATGGAAAGAAATTATTCTATTAATATTTATGACTTTAATACTACCTCGTTTAAGTATCTTAGTAGAAAGTGCTATATGGGTGTCCAAAGTAGAAAGTAAACAAGAAAAAAGTGCCTGCAGTTTGATACACAATAACCTATTACCAGCTCCACATAATCTTATTTCAAAAAAAATCGCCACATGACGTCATAATCCCAAAAATTGACGAGCAATAATACGTGATCATAGTTAATTATACACGAATAAAGTTTAAGTGTTGAACAATTTTATTTAATTTTTACAGGTTGTGCGTCATCTTGGTACGAATACTTCCGGAGCGCCGTATTTTTCGTACCTGGATTGTGAAAGTCGTTCCACGCGGCAAATATCTGATTCTGAATGACCTTTCTGACGTTCTATTTGACCTTGATATCCTTCCATCACCCTCGCTCCAGTATTGAAGCTCATACCCTTGGATTATTCCATGTGCATTAACTGGAAAATCCCAGTTCAGGTCTATTTCAGATGTTGTACGTTTTATGATGCGAACGTTCCTCACGGCGGATGGTGCTGTAATAGAATACATATGAAATTTAAGGATTTTCATAAAGTCCTGTTACAATTTCAATTTTGTTATGAAGTCAGTTCTCAATATATCTTAACCAGGTTTGTTGCTTTTTAATCAATAATTGGTAAAGTAATTTTTAACAATCAAGTAATAAAGCAAGTTTCATTGTTTGACAAGGTTATTCCACAGGATCGGAGACCGCCGACTTATCGATCGAAAGTTAGGGGATTTCAAAACAGAAACAGCGGTTTCGCTTTCTTTGCTCTGACTCAATAGCGATACCGCGTGTCCCATTCAACTTTTCCTTTAAGAAGAGTGCCCACTCTGCCAAGTTTCATTGCTTGATAAGGTTATTTTACAGTGTGTTTTCATGACTTGTTTGAACATAATAGAATTTGAAATTTACCCAAATGAAACTATAAATACCACTTGAATGCTAAACAGAGCGGCCATGTGGGCTAAAAACTTTTGGAAAGGAGCCACGAGCCATAAAATGTTGGTAACCAGTAACCACTGCTATATACGGTATAGATAAATTCTCTTTGCAATATAAAAAATATACCTGATTCGCTGGTCTTTAGCAATGCTTCAGCAAATATCGCTTCTTGCCCGCTTGTTTTTGAAACTCCGTTGTAAGAGAAAATCTGAATGTGACAGAGATAATTAGAAAATGACGACATTCTTTTTATATGCAATTCGCTACCAACAAGGTTGTGCATAAGTCGTCTTGCTAGGTAACGAGATGCTGGGGTTTGGAAGGCCCGGTATCTTTACGGTTCTGCACCCCGGGGGAGAAGGTGGGTACGGTATTCACGGACCAGTATTAGTACCGTGCTGCCCAGTGATTTTAAACACCCGCAATTCAATTTTGAGGTGCGGCAACGCACTCTGATTTCTAACTTGAACAAAATTGTATTTGGATATCGGGAAGTGGATGATATGCCTATACAGATGACCAGTCAAATATATAACACATTTTTATAAGTTACAAATAGTTTTATCACTGATAGAAAAACATCTACCACCCTAAATTCTAAATGAAAAGCTGAAGAAGATACTGATGCTGCTACAAAGTAAAGATTTTGCCTTCAAACACCATGATTTGAATTTAGTAGGCGTTTTTTAAAATATAGTTTCTCTCGGTTTGTGACTTCCAGGAGCTTAACCAGGAATTTTTGAAGGGGTTTCCTTTGGGGAGTTCTAAAATTTCTAATTGCCAGGTTAGAACGTAACAGTTAGCGGATCCGGTCAGAAGTCGGAAAAGGTAGACTTTCATGATTCTTGAAGATCTAAAAAGCGTTTCTAAATACGAAAAATTGCCAAGTATGATACAAAAAACACTTTTTTCTACATTTCAAATGGGGAGTGGGTCCGACCCACAACCACACCACAACACCCCCCTACCCGGCCCCACCTCCTGGGTACGCCGCTAGTGACTGCTTATAACGCCTTGTTTTAATCGAAAATTCAGAACACCCGCATGAAATGGTATCGGGACCTCCTAACATTCATTGGTGAATTGGGAGAACAGGCTAAAACTGAGGACTAAGTGTCGAGAACACCTGCAATACAAACATAATCAAGCCTAACATCTACTTACGCGGAATCTGTAGTTTGTGTGAGGAGACAATGCTCGAACATAAATCCGAGGTTCTACCAGATATCGTCCACTCGGCTCGTAATCTACGATGTCGGCACAGTCGGAACAGAGAGAGTATGTCGAGTCACATCGGAAGCAGGACACACTGAAATGAAGTTTGAGTTCAAACAAAAAAAATGAATAGACTTGTAGTAACTTATGTGAGTCGAAATTTTCAATCAGCAAAATGTACAAAGTTAAAATATTTTCAACCAGAAGTGTATGTTATAATATGTAATTCGGATCCGAAGATGGAATTGATAGCGGTCTGGTTTTTTGTTTCCTCGTTCGTGGAATAAAATTCTTTTTTCTGGATAAACGTCTAATTCTGAAACGTTGAACAATATTTTCCATCTTGTAGTCGAGAGTAATCAATATGTCGGAGTCCTTATTTTATTAAACCGGATTATAAATTATTTTGTATCAAGTTTGACCTTCTGGGTATCTCGTAGTGAAATAGAACATCTTCTCGGGTCGGGGGTTGGGGTCGGAGTCGATTTTTAACAAACCGGATTCCAACTGGGGCTGGTGCTTGGTTGGTTTTAAATATTTTTTTTATTATGGGGGTAGAATAGTAGAATAATATTCATTCTCCAAATCGATGACTCTTAGTAAAGCATTTGTCTTATATGTTACCTGTAGTAAACATCTCTTCTTCCTCCGTTGTCATTTGGTGGCGACCATGTCAGATCGACTGTCGTATCCTCCACTACGTATTGTACTCTCTCTGGTTTCGATGGCGGTTCTGTAAATAGACAACACTTTGTTGCAAATTTTCACAATGTTAGCCTGAAACAGGCTGTGAACAAGTAGGTTAATATTCTTTATAATTAATTTAGACTCTGCTGCACGCTCTTGATAAGCGGTCACGAATTCATGAAGGGCTACGACGTTTTTGAAATGACTGGAATGACTAGACTTCGATGCAATAAAATCTTAATATACATTTATTGTTCTATGTATACAATATAAACCTGAAATCTTTTAACGTACGTTGCCAATCAACATTGGTATCGTATTATACCTTAGCAAATATAGACACCTGCTCACTACCTTGTACAGAATATAGTGAATTGGCAAGTCAGAAAAAATTTTGTCCTTTCAAAAATAAGGACGCTAAGGACAAGTGTGGCAATGTGGCACAAGTGTGGTAATGTGGGGCAAGTGTGGCATGGTGGAAAAAATGGGGCAGAGTGGACAAGTGTGACATGGTGGAACAAGTGTGGAAAGGTGGGACAAGTGTGGCAATGTGGGGCAAGTGTGACATGATGGAACAAGTATGGCAAAGTGGGGCGAATGTAACATGGTGGAACAAGTGTGCAAAGGTGGGACAAGTGTTGCAATGTAGGGTGAGTGCGTCAATGTAGATAAATGTGGCAATGGGGGATAAATATTCTACAAAGGGAACAAGTATGAAATGAGTGTTGGACACATCATTTTTTGAGACACTGAGATTAAGTATCGATGGCTGTAAGTCAGCTTTGTTTGGAGTGAAGTAAAAACACCTCATGACAAATTAATGCACTCGAAACGGCGAAGGTGACAAAATGAAATATTAAAATATGGATAATATTTCAATAATTTTACAAATCTTGCAAACCCGTGATTTTTATCATGAAATCACCAAGGGAGCTCAAAAAGTGCAATTGTTCAACAGTAATACGACTGGCAATCTGATATTTATTTCATTTCAAACCAAGAAACAAATTTGACAACGAAAAATATTTTATTCAAAACTTTCGGCGAATCGTCAAATCTTGCATTGATTTTGCAGCATCAAGCCAGTATAGTTGTTTGATTACTGGAAGAGCATCTAAGCGTGAATTAACACATTGTTTTTCAAACTATTGATCACGAGTAGGACTGGGCATTTCAAATCGAATATTCGAATCAAATAGTAAATTATTCGAATCGATTAGAGCAAATTTTCGAATTGCCGCCATCTTGTTTCACTCTTTCCACCAATGGTCGAGGTAAATTTCTCAATTTTTTTTTCCATTGAAGCCTTATTTTTTCAACACAATTCTGACATATGACTCTTTTCTGTAATGAGGTATTGATGTACTCTATGTTTTCAGTAATTTATGTGTCTGGAGGGCCTAATATAATAAGAAAGTTACATACAATTTCATACCTTCCAACTATTCGATTCGATTCGAAAAATTTATTCGATTCGATTCTGAAATCATCACGTAATTCGAAAATGCCCAGCCCTAGTCACAGGCCAATTGGATCACCTAAAAAATTTTTAGGGTTGTTCGTTTTTCAACAAGAGCCTAAAAGTTTCTATTTTAATTTTTTAGCAATTTCTATTATTTATTCTATATTTGTATTAGAGTGTTAGTCAATAATTATTGTATATGTGGAATGTGTCACAGCATAAAATCTTGGCAGCAGCTGTTTTGTTAAGTGAAGCCACGCCACGGTTTTAAAAACTCTTTTATGATAATAGCGAACCTTCCGAAACATAACAACTGCTGTACTATTCTTATTGTGCCCCTGTCACCAAGACTGTTTCCGAAACATGATTTAACGAGTGATAGGCAAGTGCAAAATAGAATACTTTGAGTCCAAAGCCTTACTCTAAGGTTCAGTAGAAACGTGATATTATTAATTATTAATGCGATTTGTAAGATTACATAAAGGCTCAAATATGCTGTGTTGTAAGTAGGGACGTACGAGAAGCCGTGGGTCGTCATGTGTTTAATTTGTCTCATCAACTTTCCTCTCCAATGGATGTTGAAATCGCATTCTATACCTATTTTGGAGCCTATCGTACGGCCCTAACAACGATATATAAATTTAACGATATGTCCCCGCACCCGTGATTTCCCTCGTTTAGGGGGGACACCCCTACCACTATTTTAAATACCCCTTCCCTACCTGATTTTGAACTGTGACATCACACATTAATTCCTAACATTATTATAGTTGTATTTGAATATACAGAAAGTGGTTTGCATACCAGTGCAAATGTTCAGTCAAATACATAACACATTCCTATAAATTACAATTAGCTTCATCGTTGATAGGAAAATATCTACCACTCCCTAAATTTGGAAACCATTCCCAACCATGACGTTAATTTGACAATAATCCATACTATCATGAATGAAATAATGCAAAATTGTGAATACAACTTTAGAATAATAATTCTTGCGATTTAAAATTGCCATTGTATGTATGACCGCTTCATGAAACCATTTTCTATCAATGCAAGAATCTAGTCAAGTAATGTCCTTCACGGTAGACTATTGGGTACTCTGTCTATATCGTAGTTCAATAGTCGATACTCCCGTAGTATGTGAACCGAGATAGCGAACACCGAAACGTAGTATGTGTACCATAATTTTATTCCTATTTTCTTTATTTTAGTTCTATTACGAGTTCAGAGACTAGCCAAGTAACTCCCGTAGTGCTTGTACCTGAAATTATGGCCTAACCCTAACCAGGTACACATACTACGTTCTGGTGCCCACCACCTTGATTCAGATACTTCGGAAGTACCGGCTATCGGGCTACGATATAAACAACAGGCTAGGAATAGATATGGATATACGGTCCCGATCAACATTTGAATAGCATTTTACCATGTGTCATAGAAATGTTACAGCAGTCGAAAAAAATCCCTAATGTTGGCGTGACGAATGAGCGTATAATTTATCAGCGTTTTTGTCTCGACATCAATGTAAAAATAATCCGTCAAAATTTACGTCTTTTGGCAACTCTAATGTCTTGGTTTTGAGAGAAAATATGGAGCATCCATTTATATACCGCGTGCAAAATCAAGATAAACCCGGTTTAAACCTGTTCAAACCGATCTAGCAAACTTACTTCTCACTTAAAAAAGGGGGTTTTAAGCAAAAATGGCATAGTTTTCGAAATTATGTCTTTCAATTTTGATTTAGAACTTTCTAAACTTATTTCGAGCGGACGTGAAGGCAATTGGAAATAAAAGTATTTGTTAGATTATATCTTTCCCGCCTTATTTTGAATATTTACATTTCTTTATTGTTTAAAGATTGCGATGCCATCCACGTATTTCCAACGGTGACCGTACATTTGAACCCACGTACATTTGAACCCATGTGTATATCCGCGGGTTCAATCTATATGCGGGGGCTAAAACCCATGGGTTAGGGTTAGTATGGGTTCAAATATCCGTAAAACAAAAAAATTTCTATAGGTGCAATAGTATGCAGGCGCAATTGTCGTGGGTTCAGATCTACGTGGTTCAAATGTACGTGGGTTCAGATGTAATGGAACCATTTCCAACGTGTTTTTGAATGAAACATACTATTGCCTTACTATCTGTTATTTGTATATTATTGTTAGCTAGTTATTTTTGACGTGGAGCACGAGGGACATTGTACAAAGAGGACGCGGCTTACAAAGTTTGAGAACCACTGTTTGTAACGTTTCGAATATTTTGATAAATGTGGTAAAAATTGCTCGAAGTTTTTAAAGTTGATTTAATCCTACGATTTTAGAATAATTCCAGGATCGCAAACCATCAGACAATCGCGTACACGCGTGCATTCATACAACTATTTGCACACATATAAATGGGTACTCCCGTAGTATGTGTACCAGGTTGGGGTTAGGCCATAATTTTATCCGATTATACAAATGGGTACTGCCGTACTGTGTGTACCAGGTTAGGGTTCATAGTATTATTCCTATTTTCCCTATTTTAGTTCTATTATGAGTTCTGGGACTGTTTGTGTTAGCCAAGTAAATATACCCCCTGCCCATTGGTTTCAGTCCCTTTCAGTACACATACTTCTGAAGCGCCTGCAAATGTCGTTCCACGTTCGGTAATATTCTGTGGTTTATCCATGCAAATGTCAACTTACGTCCCCTAATATCAAACATTATTTTCCAATAAGACAATATTTTTGACAACAGGTCGATGGCGTCCACGCAACGTCCCAGGAGACTTAATTTGTGACGCGGCATAAATGCATTTATTTCACATATTGTAGAAAACCGAAATCTGTCGATAGCGTGGAGATAGCAACACAAAACTTATTTACTATGAGACAGAGACGTAGCCAGGAATGGGTGGGGAGAAGGGGGGGGTGAGAGTCGTACTCCCGCTCTTTCGAAAAAAAATAACAATTATTTTTGTCACACATACCAATTTTTCGTAGATTGAAACGCTTTTTAGACTCTCAATACTCTTGAAAAGTCTGGACTCGCTAGCTGATACGGATTGCGAAATTTGAAAACCACTGCTCTCGAATATATAGATGACATCGACATTAGTATTTTCTTGTTACTATAGCAACATTCTGCCCGGTCACGCTTTAATGATTCTGTCTTAAGAATTTTACCAATAACTTCTGCGATGGAGAATGAATACTCTGATCAACTTACTTGTACAAGGACTCCTGGCGCTCTCTTTATACGTTCTGTAATATCCCTTCGTGCAAATGCATTTCTGCGAGCCTTCTTTTATTGTCACGCTGTTCTTAGGGCATTTCATACAACGACTGTTCCCAACTGTAGACTTGTGGTAACCGATTGGGCATTCTGAAATAGAAAAAAATGAAATTTAAATGAAATTTCTGCGGAATATATATATTTACTGGTATGGTTTAGTTCTGATCAGTCACGCTTGATTGAATTTAATGAGAATTTAGTATAGTAGGATTCGGTTTCATTACATTTGAACCCACGTACATTTGAACCCACGACAATTGCACCTACATACTATTATTGCACATATGGAATTTTTTTTCGTTTTACGGATATTTGAACCCATACTAACCCTAACCCATGGGTTTAAGCACCCGCATATAGATTGAACCCACGGATATACACATGGGTTCAAATGTACGGTCACCCAGGATTCTGTCAAGTTACGCTTGATTGGTTCCGCGTGCAATGTTATGCGAGACGGCCCCCCCCCCCCCCCCTATCCTAAAAAAGGAATTTTCTGAATCATACAACATTCCCCCCTCACCGCCTCCCTTAAAAATTACTGGTTATGCCTTTAGTATGAATAGCTATATTTGGGACTACAACTTTGACAAAAGGTTTGATTTTTAGATCAGCTACAATTATAGTCTTTTTTTACAATCAACTCAAGTGGCACAGACTTCAAATAAAAGCCCTTAAAAACCAAAACACTCAATTTAAAGCTAATTTGTTTATGAAATTATTAATGTTGACTTGCAGCTACGAATTAACGAATTAATTTTGTCGTCAAAGAGTCGCAACAGCTTAGAAGTACGAACAACAAATTAAGTGGCTATAATTGCCCCTTATAGGTCCTAATTATACTAATTAAGCCACAGATAAACACTATAATTTGAAGTGCTGGCGACGCGTGTGCTTCCAATAACAAAGCTATTTTTAAGATGTTATATATAATTCTATCTTTCAAGGCGAATAATACTAAAATGCTGTATATTAGATATTGGGAATCGTAATGGAGGTATTGAAACGGAACGTGACGTCATGATGTGATGTCACATTCCACAAGCATTTTCAATGGATGTTAGAATGTGTTAATTATTATGTTTTACAATATTACTGATTATGTATAGAATATATATATAATATTAGTACTACATCAAATACAAAGTAAAATCCCCCCCCCCCCCAACAAAACAAAAAAAAACATGAAATTATTTTCTAAGGAGGATTTCCCCTCGACTGAGAACTCTGTATTAAGCCATTGCGCCTATCTATCTGAACTCATAATTAATCCTATTAATTTCAAATTCCACGTTCTAATAATATGTTGTATGTTACGTATTGGGAATCATAGTTCCCAATCTTTTTCGAAGTATGTTAGAATGCGTAAGTAAATGTGTTTCACAATAATACTAAATATGTGAGGAATATATATAATATTAGTAAGTACTACGCCAAATACAAAGTAAAATCCCCCCCCCCAAAAAAAAAAAATAAAAATAAAGTTCCCTTTTCTGGAGAAATCCTTTCCGACTGATAAACTCAGCATTAAGCCATTGAGCCAATCTATCTAAACTCATAATTAATCATTTTAATCCCAAATTTTTCTTTTTCCCAGACATTCATGTCAGATATGAGATCTAAGCGTGGGATATGCTAACGAAAGTTGGCGCATATTCAGTAATATATCGATTTAACCCTCAGAGAGTTTGGAACTTGTGAAATTGTGTCAGATAATATCAATTTCAGGTTGACATTACAGGCCCAAGGATTCTTATCTTGCTATACTTGAGCAGTCATTTTTCTTATTATGTCAATGCGTTTTGATTATTATTTGAAAAATTAGACTTATATTTGATTAATCAAGTAATAATTAATTTAATTTTTGAGATGTTTTCCCGGCGCTCCAGAAGTGTGTGTACCAATATGGAGGTAAACGCCTACTTCACACCAAGTTGTGTAAAGGGACTGAAACCTATAGGTATTCGATATTCACATGACTAACACAGACAGTCCCCGAACTCGTAATAGAACTAAAATAAGGAAAATCGGAATAAAATTATGGCCTAACCCTAACCTGGTACACATACAACGGGAGTCATTTGGCTAGTCCCCGAACTCGTAATAGAACTAAAATAAGGAAAATCGGAATAAAATTATGTCCCAACCCTAACCTGGTACACATACTACGGGAGTACCGTTTTTCCATTTTCATTCTGAACAAAGATAGTTGCAAGTAGCCAAAGATATCTAACGATTTGTAATAAATCTTTCAGTTTTGGCAACGCCTAACAAATTCATTACATTCAGGATGAGGTGGTGGGCATGGGGTTTTAACCAATTATGTGTAATACTCATTATAGGTAAAAAAGTAGATTAATTGGGAAATCGGTTGAAATGTTTTTTTTTGGTTAGCTACTTACAAGACCATAGGGAAACCATCACAGGGAAACCGTCTTCATTATGTAAAACCTTATATTTTAGAGAATACGCCGTATTGCACTCAATTTAATTACAGCCTTTTTTTCAACTTGCGAAACTGTGTCAGATAATATCAATTTCAGGTTGACATAACAGCTCCAAGGATTCTTATCTTGGGATATTTCAGCAGACTCATTTCTCACATATGTCAATGCGTTTTGATTAAGATTTTGAAAATATCCTTATTAAAGCCATTATGTTGAGTTGATTAATTTTATTTTTATGACATTATTTCCTGAATTAAATATATATAAGAGGCACTGATACGCAAGGTCCTTCTATTTAACGATATCTTCCCGAATCGGCATCATCCGCCAAATTTAATACCGCTCGGGTGAAGAGATATGTATTCTGTTTAAAATCAAGATTTTAAATACCCATTAAATGCCAATACTATGTGATTCATGAGTCCTGCTGCACACTCTCACGAATGTATTTCTGTAACGTTTCGTCTGTCTGAAATCAGACTATATATCAACATAACATTGATACTATTCTATTTGCGACGCAAAGATAGCTTAAATCTACGTCATACGCGCACACCACATTGCTATAACATTTTTTTCGCTCAGATTCATCTCATCACAAATCCAAAATCTAATTAGCCAATGATCTAACACCTAAAATCGATGAAATGTCTCGATTCTCTTAGACAAACGTCTTATTTGAGATATTAGAAAGGTAAATCTGACACTCAAGAAGGTCAAAATTTCTGCTCTCCACGTCATGCATTGAAAAAGCTTGCAATAATGCAAAAATCAGTGTTTTTCTGTGACTTAACTCAGGGATCAGTTCCCTTTATTTATTAGTGAATGCGCTTTGAAATTTTTTTTTGAAAAATGTTAAATTATTTTTTTCATCTCAAATATTTCCGTCTGTCAAGTTTTCCTTTAGTGTCTCTGTAATGAAGCACTTTAATATGCAAGTGTGATGCGAGCCGCGAATATGACGCAGGCTTTTTTTCACGTTTCCATATATCAGTAAATCTGTCTGGATTTCCATCAGAGTCTGTACATGAGAGCCTTTCATTGTCAATGTATGATATAATAACACATATAAATAAAAAGTCGTTTGACATTTTTTCAGTCTATCCGTATATCAGTATGCTATATATCTGTCTTGGTTTCCCTGAGTGTTTAATCGCTCTAAAGTATCGGATTATTTCAAATTTTGATATCAATTTGTGTTATGATAATAACGCAAATGATTAATAATCTCGTAAAAATAACGAAATATTTATACCCGGTTAAAGGGACAAAGTGCAGCATTCTCCCGATTTCGAGACATGCAAGTCAATCTCATGTAGATTTCAGGCGGACGAAACAAAAAGAGGGATTTCGTTCATGATCCATGTATTGGATCACTCAAATCGGTAGGTGCTGGATATGTTCTCCCATTTAACCCTGCTAAAACGCTTAAAAACAGTGAAGAACCGTCAAAAAACACCAAGAACCCTGCCAAAACGCTTAAAAACAGTGAAGAACCATCAAAAAACACCAAGAACACTGCTAAAACGCTTGAAAACAGTGAAAAACTGCCAAAAAACACCAAGAACCCTGCTAAAACGCTTAAAAACAGTGAAAAACCGTCAAAAAACACAAATAACCCTGCTAAAACGCTTAAAAACAGTGAAAAACCGTCAAAAATCACCAATAACCCTGCTAAAACGCTTAAGGAAACGTCAACCGCCACAGTTGGACGTAAGGACGTTTATATAATTTCAATCGGGCTATGGATCGTCGCAGTCGGATGACTCACCACCCCTCGGTATGCTATCGGTTGGTTTGGTTAATATCAGAATAATACCATTTCAGCAATCGCTCTGTCTGATCCGAAATGAGCCTACTTTGTACGTTTAGGTGTGTGTGTGGGAGGCGGGGTCTTGAGGGTCTAAAAAGCGTTTAAAAAGGACCATGTATGATACAGTATAATGTTTTTTATACTTTGAAAAGCATTACTGCCCTATTGAACTTTAGCAATTTTCATTATGCCATGCACGCCAAGCCGAGAGTAAAAAATAAAGAAAATTGGGTATCTAGATAATCCTTTTATACAAGCGATCCCGTTGCGGGTTATGGAATAATTGGCTTATTCTGTCTGAGGTTTGAGAGGAGGAGCAATACCAAAAAATCGGAAATATTACTAATTTTTTACAGCAATTCTTGTCAAAATTGGTCGCTTAAATCGAAGTTAAAATTTGAATTTCCTATTTTGTATTCGACCAATCAGTGAAGCATAATGACCGCATGTAAGATCCAATTTTGACACGAGTTATCAACGAATAAGATTTGGAGTCACTTCAATTTTTTTATTATTTTTTGTGATTTTTAAAAGTGTGCCAATTCTTCGATGTGATATCCCGTAGGTTATAAAAAAACATCGAGATATGTTTGACCATAGTTGAAATACTTATAACTAGTAAAAAGCCTAATTCGCATTTAGTGCTGAAACTCTAAAAATAATTTACTATTCTTTGTGGGCGGTCGCCTCAATGCAAACAAAATACCACAGTACCAGATGTTCAAATGACGTAATTAAATCATGATGTCATAATTCTATTAGGTTATAATACAAAATGGGTTTTGCATAATATGGTATAGTAAACAGTAGGCCTCTGTGAAAACAAATGTGAGACGAAAATTCGTGTTACCATTTTTATATTACGCTTATTCTCTCCGAGAAAGAGACTGCCTGTGCAGCCACTGAAACGGTCGTAGACAGAAAATTTCAATTATTATTTCTGAAATTAAATTTCTAATTGCCAAGTTAGACCGTATCAGCTATAGTGGATCTGGCCGGAGACCGAAAAAGTAGGTTTTCAAGAGTTTTCAGGGTCTGAAAAGCGTTTCAAGTAACGAAAATGCTTTTTTGAACATTTCCCAAGGTTTCAACCACCCCTCCTCCCCTTTCCCCAAACCAGGGTGCAATATATATAGTAGTGCCTTGCGTGTTCGCGGATTAGTAAAAAGGAGTGATAGTTACGCTGCCACGGCTACTTCCATCAAAACCGGCACTCAATATGAATTCTTTATATTCAATGTTGACCGAAACGGAACAAGCTTTTAACCTAACACTGAATTATTAAACGACGCCTTCATACAATTAACATTAAGGACATGTGAGGGCAATTACTTTTCGGAGTGGGACAGTTACAGATGATAGACTTGGTTATTGGGCTGGAGGTACAAAACTCAATATGAAAAACTTTGAATAAAAACAGTTTGTTTACAAAAACTAGTTCAACTTGCTTGGTTCACGTTTATATAGTAATAAAAAGAAGCACAATCTGACAATATTTATTTTTCATTATAACGTTATTTTCATCATATTTTCAACATAAATTTATATCCATAAAAAAAAACATAGTCATCATTTCAGCAAACACGTGGATTGCATCCGGCCTGCAATTTGCCCATCCCTGGTTTAACCTAACACTAAATTATTGAACGACTAACTTCATGCAATTAACATATAGGCGTTTACACGAACGTTCGGGACTAATTTTTATTCAAAGCGGACCTCTCGTTAGCCTCGAATTATAATTAACACCTGTCCTTTTAACCTAACTGTTGTGGTAACGACAGAAAATCAATATTCAGTAAACAATATGCATATTGCATATTTATTTGCTTTTCGTTGTCAGACTCTAAGAATGATAAATTCGCCGCACGATCCAGCCAGCAACTTAATAATAATTTGGGATGGCGCGATGACCTAGCGGCAAGACCGCAGCCGCCCGGAGTTTCCAAAGAAGGTAAGAGTTTGAAATTTGTAATGTGGCAAGCTAGACCTTAACAGCTAGGCAGGGTGGTCCGAGGTTGTCGGCTTCGGGGGCCACAAAATTATTTTTGCATTGTTCGCGGGCCACAATAGTGCCAAGAATAGGTAAACGGTGCAATACAAAAAAAAACTTTAATTGTGCAAACGCATTGATCAGTATTTGTCATTGATCAATCTAAAACATTCAAAAACCACCAAAAAACTTAATAAAACATGTAAAAGTCTTCCTATATCTACATTTAGTGTAAGATTTCAAACTCTTCATAACGGAAAAAATGCCATAACACTAGTCAATACAGTGATGTTAGTGTTGTAACAGTATGTCAAAAGATTTTTCTGGTTAATTTTATGACGAAAAACATCAAAGGCGATTTTTTAATTACACTCCAAATCCGACGCGGGCCACATATAAAGTATGGCCCGCGGGCCTGGATTATGACCACCCTGAGCTAGCGGGACCGGTTAAAAAACGTGAGTTTTCAAGAGTTTCGAGGGTCTAAAAAGCGTTTCTAGTTACAAAAAAGGGAGCTCCCGAAGTATGCGAACCAAGATGGCGGACATCAGAATGTAATATGTGTACTAGGTTAGGGTTAGGCCATAATTTTAGGTATAAATACTACGGGAGGCTCTTGGCTAGTCTTCGAACTGATAATAGGACTAAACTAAGGGAAATTGGGAAAAAAATATCGCCTAACCCTAACCTGTTATCAATGTTACGTTCCGATGTCCGCCATCTTGGTTCGCATACTTCGGGAGCACCTAAAAAAGTGCTTTATATGATACAGAAAAAGTTTTTTTTTCACATTTCCCCTGGATCTGACCGAAGATCACATCTCTCCTTGTTCTAAGCGGAAGACGTAAATAAGCATTCCATAATAAAATGCAAAGTACCTAATTTAGGAGAAACCGGATAGGTAACCAGAAACCAGAAATTCATATCGTAAAATTTCAACTCCGAAAGTTCAAACATACAGGTTACTATTTGTGCATTTGTGCCTCGCACAGAAAGATTACACAGAACAATCTAAGTTAACTAGACTACTATTTCCATTCAACGACCCTTCCCCACATATTGACAACTCCATCACTAACTGTCACTCACCAGTGCATTCAGTCTTGTTCTCATTCGGTTGATATCCCGGTAGACATTGGCAAGATCCCTCAGGAAGTTTCCATTTTGCTTCGCTGTTGCAGAGAAGAGTTGGACCTGAAATGAAATAAAAATAAGTAAAATAAAACGACAAAGAGTACAAACAAGGATTGAAGAGATAAGGAATACGATATGTTTACAAAGGACGTACCCATTCTTAGGGCTGAGGGATGCTACTCGGACACCTCATCCCCTTGAAATGTGAAAACAAAAAACAAAAACAAAAAGGCAATGGTTGTATATTGCGACAAGGAGTACAAACAAGGATTAAAGAAATAAAATATGTGATATGTTTACCAGGAGAGTACCCAAGATGTACTTATCATACAAAGCACTTTTTCGCAGCTTGAAACTGTTTCTAAACCATCTCTATCTAGAAAACCCACATAGCCCGTGCTTCCGCCAGACCCGCTGGCCGATACGGTCTATGTTGGTCTATTAGTAATTTAAGAACCAATTCCTTCGGAAGATCGAATCCTTCCACAAATAGTTACTACTCAAGTATTTATTGCATGTTGTTTTTTTCCCAGTTCAAAGAGAAGGCGTGAAAATCACTTCCATTCAAAAAAGGGATCTTTTGTACGAATTCCCCACCAATGTTTAAAATAAGAAAATTAGTAAATATCCAGTTTGGGTTAGGGATGCAGATTGCGCTGGAAAATGAAATTTTTAAATCGTTCCTAACCCCAACTAGATAATTACTAATTCGTTATTTAAAAACATTGCCAGGGTGTTTTTCTGAAATCTCACATTTTCGCATTGGTGGCGGATGCTTTGTACAAAAGCTTCCAAACAGTAATACAATTTCAATATTTCAGCATGCAATACGATCTCAGAACTGTCAGTGAAATTGACTTTTTGGCCAAGTCACAAAACATCCATTTTAGAATAAATTAATGTTTTATCACACGGAAAAATAATCTTATTTCATCACGACGAGTCATTCGAAATTTCACGACTAAAAGCGCCTTGGACATATTTTGGTTTGTGATTCAATATGTGATAGAGAAATTGGCTGTCTTTTGCGAGATTGGTGATTTCTGCAATCAACGATTTGCTACGTTTTCCGATTTACTGCGTATTGCAAAGAGTGTTCAGAGAGGGTCTAGAGCAGGAGTGGGCTAGGTTTTCAAATTAGGGGCCAAAAATTTTGCCCACCTAGACGGGCGGGCCATATAAGTTTGACGTAAAAAAAAAATTTTATGAACAATATTTAAAAGTAAAATTTGAAAACAATAAGTCTTTTCCAAAATTAAATTCAATCGCAATCTCAACAAACTCCTTGAGCTATTTTTCAGCTGAAAGATCAAAATTTGGTTTTAGTTTGTTGTAGCATCATCAGGCGAACCAGAATTATTTACCCAACGGGCACGAAATGGCCCCGGGCCGTAGTTTGCTCATGTCAGGTTTATGGGCCATTCAGACCACGATTGGCAATAAATATTCACCCCCAAAATTTACAGAGAAAGACATTTAAATAGCATTTGAGGCGACATATCCATCCCCATTCATTCTTAATTTATTCAGTTTACAAATAAAAAAGTATTAATTAATAACCAACTAAAATGTCCAACTACACGCAGAAAAAGTTTTCTTACAAATTAAACCCCAATTTGACACAGATTCTATGTTCTTAAAGCGAGTTTCCGTGACCTGGCGATGATTAATATATTTCAACGTGCGGGGCTTACGAGCTAATGCGTCTAAAGACCTCATAATTACATTTCAGGTCACTCGGACTTTTGTACAGTCAAAAGAATTTTTCCAGCTTGGCAGTAACCGTCAAATTCAATTTATAAGTGTGTAACCGCACCCTATTTGTCCCAAAATCATAATTTTTTGAATTTAGAGGCATTTTAGAAATCTCTGGGGAGAGCAAAAACAAAATTTTCCAACAATTTTTTTTTTGTATTTTTATTATTTCTACATTTATTAAGATTTTAAAATTTTGTTTTCGGGTTTTAACGTCATAACTATTACGTCATCATTCAAATTAAACGATAAACAAAGATAAATAACGTCACGTATAAAGAGCCATTTCCGAGCAAAATGATATTTTAGAAATATTCTGTCAATATATAAAGTTTATTTTTTATTCAAAATATTCGTTTGGTGAATTTTTTTACTCTGTACACCCGGACTTGCAAACTCCGACTTTTAAAATTTTTTTATATTTTCCATAATTACCGTTACACCGCTATAAAACACAAAAAATATTTATGAATTCCCATAACTCATATGAGTTTTGTTACCACATAAATTTGAATATTATTTATCAATCCCATTAATATAGAACGATTTTCATATCTTTTTTCTGGAGAGAGGAAAACCGATCACAATATTATTATTAGTGTACAAATATGGGTAATATATACTACGCCGTATGGTACAAATACTACGGGAGTCACTTGGTTAGTCCTCGAACTCGTAAGAGAACTAAAATAATGAAAATTGAAATAAAATTATGGCTTAACCTGGTACACATACTACGTTCCGGTGTCCGCCATCTTGGTACGCGTACTTCAGGAGTATCAAATAGTCAATAGAGAAGGATTTAGATGTTTATTCACTAGAAAGTATTACAAACTACCCGCAAACAAACGATTGATCTTATATAAAGAAGACTAGCGTGTTTTGATTCATTTTGAATTGTAGAACACCGCGATCAATAGTTATTAAATCAGTCACTTATGAGATGTCTACAGATTACCACGCCAAACTGAAATTCAAAATTGTAGTTCTACTGCTGCTACGAAAAATTGCGCAATTGTTTCTTGATGTTACCTATTCGGGGTGTATTTAATCGTTTGCTGGTACACCCGAAGTATGTGAACCAAGATGACGGACACCGAAACGTAGTATGTATACCAGGTTAGGGTTAGGGCTGTTAGGCCATAATTTCAGGTACAAATACTACCAGAGTTACTTGGCTAGTCCCCGGAATCGTAATAGAACTTACATATGAAAAATTATGGCCTACCCCTAACCTGGTACACATACTACGTTCCGTTGTTCGCCATCTTGGTCCACATACTACGGAAGCGCCGAAAAATGTGCAATCGCTTCCTGAGTGTTACCTATTTTCGAATTTGTGCATGTAGTATTTGGCAAATTGTCATAAAATGTCAATTTATGCAATTTCAACATTCGAAGTAATGTAATTCCTGGATACAGCCTGTTTATAATCCAATAAAAACCGTAAAACGAAAAACTTTTTGCGTTCAGTGCAATTACGCCAGAAATTTCCCGTACATACTTAATAAAAAATCCCATTTTCTTTCAAAATAAATTAGCCCTAAAAGCATATGCTCCCTCGATACAGTGATTATAAAATTTCATTAATCGACAGATAGGAAAAACAAATTTAAAATGTAGCAGAACAATTTTATTATGTAAAACAAAATTCGCATGTCCACTTTGTGTAATGGGGCATTGAATGCGATGACCTAATTCAACGAAATACCAACAAAATAAAACGGTAACATTTTTTCTCAATTTAGAAACACTGCGTTTGTTTTTACAACTTTTGTCTTACAAATGCTATATGTTAATGTCGCGGATCCGTCAATATTATTGTTAGTTTTAGTAACACTCAAATTCAAAATGAAATTCTCTCCCTCAAAGCAGTAGAATTCTATCCGTGGAGTTAAGAAAAACTGCGTTGCACTATATTTTTCCTAGGGCTCCCGAAGTATGCGAACCAAGATGGTGGACATCGGAATGTAATATGTGTACTAGGTTAGGTTTAGGCCATAATTTTAGGTATAAATACTACGGGAGGCTCTTGGCTAGTATTCGAACTGATAATAGGACTAAAATAAGGAAAATTGGAAAGAAATTATGGCCTAACCCTAACCTGTTACACATGTTACATTCCGATGTCCACCATCTTGGTTCGCATACTTCGGGAGCCCCAGGAAAAATATAGTGCAACGCAGTTTTTCTTAACTCCACGGATAGAATTCTACTGCTTTGAGGGAGAGAATTTCATTTTGAATTTGAGTGTTACTAAAACTAACAATAATATTGACGGTCCCGCGACCGTCAAAACCTGTTAAAAAATTTCACCTCGGTTGGGAAACGCTGCGTTACACTACAAATTTTCTCTTCCTAAATACAATGTTAATGTCACGGAGCACGATGTTTAAGCTTCTGGCGAATGATTGATTTTCTTCGCCTAAAAATCGATCGTGATATTTCGTTTGCAGGTTCTGTGGTTACGCCGTGGAAAATGGATACTCATGTAGTATGTGAACCAAGATGGCGGACACCGGAACGTAGTATGTGTACCAGATTCGGGTTAGGCCATAATTTTAGATACAAATAATACGGGAGTCACTTGGCTAGTCCCCGAACTCGTAATAGAACTAAAATAAAGAAAATTGGAATAAAATTATGCCCTAACCCTAACTTGGTACACATACTACGTTCCGGTGTCCGCCATCTTGGTTCACCACTTCAGGAGCGCCATGGGAAAATGTTGTCGGTTTTCCAAATCAACGTTTATTTTTGCTCATAAATTTTTGCGTTGGCGTGTCTTGTTTTGAAAATTTACGTAGGAATATGAATTAAGGTTTACCACAAACGGTAGCTATGGTTTTGTGGTTATGGTATGACGCAAATATCCTACGCGCGTGAGACTGATTCAAAATATATATCGGGAACTCGGACCCTGACCCACTAGTCAATATCCGGTGCATTAGATCAAAACAAAATTTTTTTTTAAAAAATTTAAAATTACTGTACATTTACCTCTTTCATTCTTATCTGTAGATATAGCATTGGTAACGCATTTTCCAGTCACCTTCACAAATGAAGTGACTTGAGGACCGGTCAGAGTACTTTCGAATGTTGCCAGATTCTGTGTGATTTGGTCGCATTTCTTGTAGTAGACCCGAACGTAGTATATGATCATACATGCACCGGTGTCCTGGTTAAAATAAAATGGAGGATTTTACATGGAGAAGTAAAAATCCAAGGGCTGGTATCTCGAATCCCAATCTCCTTTTGAATGTATTAAATTGTGCAGCCAATGTCGAATCAGAAGGAATATGGTCGATACATGCGTAGGCCTCAACCCACAAAACTTATAAGTATCGGCATAGACTACCTAATTCAGTGGTTTTCAAACTTTTCAAGCCGCGCCCATTTTATAGAATTTTAAAGGGTCAAAAGTCATACATCACAATTGCACATGCGGAAGTTATGATCATAGAGCACGGGAAGCGTTCTAAACTCACGAAAACGCTCACACGCATCACCTCAAAAATACCTAGCTAACAATAAGATACAAATAAAAGATAGTAAGGTGAAAGTATGTTTTATTCAAAAAACACGTTAAAAATACGAGGATGGAACGTAAATATCTAAAATAAAGAAATGTAAATATTCAAAATAAGGCGGGCAAGATCAAATCTAACAATTATTTTCATTTTTAATTAGCTTAACGTCGCCTCAAAAAACGCGCGCTCCACCGTACGGGTAGAACTGACCTAATTCATTGTGCACCTGATGAGAAGTTGAACATGGCATTTAAACCCGGAATCTCAAAGTCCCGTTGCTGGGCGCTCATAGCCCTGTTTTTTATGCTAATTTGACTAAGATATGCAGCTTAAGCAGATTAGGGGTTTGTGCCCATTCTACTTTTTGATGGCCCGGGACTTGCTTTGAAGAAACCTCAACCTTCCTATCAGTACTCTTTCCACTTTTAGTTGAGGGCTCGGTACCTACTTTCAAGAAAACTTGTACAAATAATTTCAAAAAACGAACCTGAAAAGCAACATAGATCCCTTTTCCCTTGATCGGTCCAATCTTCCTTGTCTCGGTATCGGTAGCTTGGAGTTGTCTATCAGCAGCTATTGTATCAATCTACAAAGAAAAGGTTTTGTGAGTTACTTTTTGATTGATTTTTGATGTTTGTGTGAGTGTGTGTGTGTGTGTGTGTGTGTGTGTGTGTGTGTGTGTGTGTGTGTGTGTGTGTGTGTGTGTGTTTGTTTGTCTGGTATGTGTGTGTGTGTGTGTGTTTGTGTGTGAGTTCGCGTGTGTGTGTAGGAGGAGGGGAAAGGAGTTATTGACTCAGTTTAGTGCCAGGAAGCGCGAAAACTATGCATACGTTTCCCTCCCGCCCATGGAGTCGATGGGAGAATTTTTTAGGTGACGCTGCTAGATAACCATCACTGATTTATCGCGTCTCCCTTCAAGCAGAAATACATTATTTTTTTTTACTTCACTGTTTGCACACTTCTTATTTTCGGTATGTGAAAAAACTGCTGACTGACTAACTCACCAAACAATGTTGGGAGCACGGCGCTCTAGCAGTATGTTTACCAATATGGAGGTAACTGATTTTGTTCGCCTACTTTACATCAAGTTGTGTGAAGGGACTGAAACTTATAGACAGGGGGTATATTCACTCGGCTAACACAAACAGTCCCCGAACTCGTGATAGAACTAAAATAGGAAAATAGGAACTCAAACCTGGTACATATGCTACAGGAGTACTGGAAACTGTACAAGGTATGACTTGCTCCATGTTTTCTCTGTACAAAATTAAAAGAAACTTAAATGGATAAATATAATAACTTACTTTCTTATAAACTTTATGGTTCATGCTCCTGTGCTTCCCAGAACTTGGCGAATCTGATTCCAAATAATATAAATTAAAAGTCTCTTTGCACGTTGCAGCACTTGGAAGGTCTTCGCATGATCTGAAATAATGATTGGTATATTTTTCATACGAAGTTTTGCGCATGTAATGGGAACAAGACTCTGACAATTTGGCACTGCTATATAAGACTTGAAATACTCAAATCCTCAAACCCTGAGACAGGGGCGTGGCGAGAAAATTTGGTGCTCCCGAAGTATGCGAACCAAGATGGCGGACATCGGAGCGTAACATGGGTAACAGGTTAGGGTTAGGCGATAATTTTTTTCCAATTTTCCTTATTTTAGTCCTATTATCAGTTCGAAGACTAGCCAAGAGCCTCCCGTAGTATTTATACCTGAAATTATAGCCTAACCCTAACCTAGTACACATATTACATTCCGATGTCCGCCATCTTGGTTCGCATACTTCGGGAGCCCCGAAAATTTTTTAATAATGGGGGGTCTGTAGTTTCTAATTGCTAAGTTAAATCGTAAGTCTGCCCAACGTGGGTTTAGGAAGGTCTTCATGGTCTAAAAAGCGTTTCAAGTTACGAATAATTGCCATGTGTGATACAGGAAAAAAGATTTTTTTTCCAATTTCCAAAGTGCGGTTCCGACCCTCAACCTCCTCGTCCTGCTCGAATAAATTTCGGATATTTCACCGAGTTGATTAGCGATTATATGTTCTTACACTTTCAAATATTTTATTTGGTAAGGTTTCGTAAACAAAGGACTCCCACATACAAATAGCACACAACAATAATAATGCTTGCACAATTACTAAAAGGCAAATATACTTTGACGTTTAAGTGCCTATCTCTATACACACCTTATAGTAAACTTAATCTCCACATATACATTCTTCGCGCCTTCTTTTAATTCAATATAATTCGTTTTAAACCAGTTATTCTGTCCTGGTGTTCGAATCCCGCAAACTTGAAACGTTCGGAGAGGAACCTGGTTCTCATCTGTGTTGCTTAACTCGTTCCACTGTAAATGAATAAAGACAGAAAGATTTTAAAAGATGTATCGATTTACTAATTTAATTCAGTTTTAGTGAAATTCAGTAAATTTTCACGACAGAAAAATTTCGGTTCAAACCAGTTAAGTGATCTTTACACTGTAATGCTTATAAAAAGACAACAAAAATATCGAAATACATCCCGAGTCCACAGAAAAATGATCTAGCACATGGTTCCGACCCAACGAAACTGGGTTGAAATTTATAATAACTGTCGAACAGAAAAATACAAATATTTAAATATGAATTTAAAATAACAACACCGTTTTTGGAGACTCTCTATTCGAAGAAATGGTTTCTTTTTTTTTAATATTTTAAATTGATTTATTTTTCATGTTTTCAAGTCTTCTCTCGAAACTAGGCGTTGTATAAACAAACAGTCACTAATACGTTGTGTGCCTCTATTTTCGAAAAACAGGAATTTTCTGATTAGATTGCCTACCCAATTCAGTACACATTAAGCGATATTTTTGTTCTCGTATTTATTCAAACATGGTCGTTGTAGAAACGTAATTTTCGTGCGCAAACATTTTTTTATTTAATTACTCTAGGGAACACTGTATAATTTGCGCGTGGGGATTGATTGACGTGAATTTGGCGTGGTGTAAATTTGTTAATTAAGATTTATGGATTTCCCATAATTTATTTTTCGTATTTCATCGCTCTGGTTTATGCCAATACCGCAGTCTTGTTTTCGGATACAAATAATAACATCGTCGCAACCTTTTCCATACATTTCCTATTTGCCTGTTCAATCTTCGAACGATCTATAGTTAGTAATGAGCGTTACCGCGATCTTGTTTTAATACAGGTAATAACGCTGTTGAATGGGACTTTGCGAAAACGTTAGTGCAGAATTTTTAAAACCTTCCATGATATGTGACCCCTGTCAAAAACTCTCAATATATGTGGCCGCCTGCTCGTCGATAAAAAAAAACTATAGGCCTTTGTTATATCAATAATATTATAAATATAAAGCAGGTCCTAAATTAATTGTGACATATGTGATGCGTAACAATGCATTATGCAGGAAATACAGTTCGTGTGAGCGTTTTCGTGAGTTTAGAACGCTTCCCGTGCTCTATGACCATAACTTCCGCATGTGCAATTGTGATGTATGACTTTTGACCCTTTAAATATTATCGTATTAATTCTTGCTATGTTGTGGATGGGAGATGTTTGTACAAAGCCCATATTTGAGAAAAACACCTTCGCCACGTTTTGAAATGACAAATTAGTAACTATCTAGTTAGGATTGAAGTTAGGAATAATTTGAAAAATTGAATTTCCAGTGCAATCTGCAAAAACATTGAAAATCATAAAAAAAAAACTTGCAAAATCAGCAAGAAACGGTGAAAACCAATAAAAACCTTGCAAAAACGTGCTACCCAACCCTAACTAGATAATTACCATTCTCTTTTTTATATTGAGTTGTGGCGAGAGTGTTTTTCTGGCGGTAAGTTTGAAAAATAGATCCGACCTTAAACCAGCGACGCCGGCATAGTTATGTCATACGCACGGGTTATTAGCCATCAAGCAACATTTACTAGACCGCATTTAAGAAAAGGACTCTTGAATTAGAAGCCAGTTTGAAGTGGGATTAAAGAATTATACAGTCTGCAATAGGAGACATCAAAATGCCATAATTAATGGTTATGCCAATTCATCCGAAATTCAAAAAAGGGTAAAATAAAAATTGTTGGAAAGAACAAGGCGCCCATTTTTATTAAAATGTCACATCCATCCATCATAATAAAATAAATATTTGTTTCGGGGTAAAATCTCTGTCAATCTCGAGTAAATACAGTGTTTTGCGTTTCGCTAAAATAAACAATTTTCTCTCATCGATGCTATAGTAAGGTGGGCCACATTGAAATGAAAAAATTCGCGCGATAGCCTTGCAGAGTTAGATCTACCTTGTTGCTGTTGATGGCCAAATACCACAGTTTTAAACGCTATGTCCGCCAGCCTGTAATAAATTGGATATGCAATGTCGAATCAAAAAGATTTCGGTCCCATGGTATTTGGCTTTTCGAGCAAAACCTTGTTTAAAGCGAAAGTGGAAAATTTTTTCATATTATAATGAATAAGCTCGCCACCGCACCTCTGATTAACTGCTTGTCTTGGCATTGTTTGGAATGGAGATTTAAAAATCATCATACAACGTAGTGCACGTCAAAATTTCAATCTAATGAGTGTAACTAACTAATCAATCAAATGGTTTTTATTAGCCACTCAGACAAACGGACACGATGAAATGAAAGCAAAATTAAAAATATCAACAAATTCATGCCTTTGCGTAGAATGGACGGGATAGCCGAGATTCAATTTACGGCTTACGATCACGCTGCATTTTGTGTTCCAAATGTTCGCCCTGAAATTGCTCTAGGCAAGCAATTTTACACTCTTTAAGATGGTTTTTAGGATTTCTGCCGGGCGTACCAATCGTCGCATCTTTTAGATTCATGTTCGGGGTGAAAACATAAAACGCTCCATAAAATACACCACACGAAGTATTTCACAGTCGTGTATCGTAAATATTAAATTCGGGACAAAATTCCTTCACGCTACGACAAATGGAAGACAAAATAAATATTATTTTACGACATCGCGTAAATGTGCCAAAATAATAAAATTTATTCGCCACTTATATTATAGTGAAGCAGTGAAGTGTAACCTTACACATCGTGGGCGAGCTTTTTAAACAAAATGTAAACCACGAAATTTCTGGCATGGTGTAGCCTGCGCGGGTCATTAGGAACATATTTCAGAGCATTGGTTCTCAAACGGTGCCGCGTCCCACACAAGGGGGTTGTATTCAATTTTTTGAGGGAGCGTGAAGCTATTTAATTGTTACATTTGTTAGATTTGATCGTGCCCGCCTTATTTTGGATATTTACTTTTCTTTATTTTAGATATTTACGTTCAATCCACGTATTTTAACGTGTTTTTGAATGAAATATTCTTTCGTCTTACTATCCGTTATTTGTAGCTTATTGTCAGCTAGTTTTTTTTTTTTTTGAGGTGGGGCGCGCGACTTGATAAATTCTAAAAATGAGGCGCGGCTTGGAACGTTTGAGAACCAGTGAATTAGGTAGTCTATGTCGAAGTTTCGTGGGTTAACCTTTTGTTACGCATGTATCGACCATATTTGTTGTGAATCGGCATTGCCCGAACAATTTAATACACTCATAAGAAGATGGCCATGATATTCGAGATCCCATCTCTTTGAATATTCCTCCTCTATCCCCTTTTTATTTTTTATTAACCAGGATGAAATTTTTGAGCCATATAGAAGCTTTTCACGCTCACTTATGACGTCACTTAGGTATTATGACGTCATTTATCAATATTCACCTTTCCAATATTGCTGTTTAAAAGATTATTCATTTTTTAAGTATTTTTTTCCCTTAGACCTCCTCCAATTTAATTATGACATTCTAGCATCATGATGCCCTAACTGAAAAAGTTGTTTTTTTTGGTACACCCACATTTTTCATTTCTGCACCAAAAACTTATTTTTAATCGTTTATTTGGGTCTCCATAGTCAAAATGATAACGTCAATTTCGTGACAAATTTAATTTAAAAAAAAAAATTTTGCAGAAGCGTCCGTGTTTGGGTATTTTTTATTATTTTTTTAAGCGGTAAGACATCGTTGTTATTTATTTACAACACAGCTATTTACCCCCAATTTTAATAATAAAAAAGTTGTTTTCCATGTTTCCAATCAATGTTCCAATCATGTATTTGTCCCAAAATTCCAAATAAATCATCATGAGCCTTTTAAAAAAAATTGGCTTGGCCTTACATAACCTACAGATAAACAGAACTTTTATGCCTGGAACAAGTAAGCCCCGTACTTAACAAACCGTGATTTAATCGCCAATTAAATTTTATAACGAGATTTGTAAACCACGTTGTGACGCAACAGTTCAACAATAATAGGCTTATATGAAACCTTTATTACGTGCCAAAGAATTTCGAAATTTAACAAAACTTGATTCTATTCAAATTTGAACGGAGTTTGAATAACACTTTACGCATGACTAAACAAAAAGCATTAATACATCATAAAAATGAAAAATTTGAATATTTAATACTAAATACCACGAGTTTATAACCGCATGTACGTGCGTTTCTGAGGATACTTTTTATATACAAATTGCAAAACTGTTTTTGACACATAAAAAATTTAATGTTTTTAAAATTTACATAAACGCAAACTCAAATTGAATTAGTGTGATTAATGTGGTTGAGAAATAATTCCCAATAAAAAATGTATGGCATCCATATGTATGCTATTATATTCTTCAATTTCTTACTAATTCGTGCAATTATGACAGTTTGAAAATATTTTATGTAATTTAAGAGTTTTACTGCACACTGAAACAAATGTAGTGCGCAACAGGAATTGCATAGTATAGTCATCTTTATTCTTGCTACAGCATCCTTGCATTACACGCATACGGATCCACTTGCGCAAAGCCATTGGGAAAGGATTGGGAGTTAGTCTCACGTAACCTTATTGTACATATTTGATTTACCCTATTATAATTTAGATATATCAAAAGGGGTGTATGCCGCACATCTGTGTTTTAGGCCAATATGGTCTTGTGCATACATCCCGTCTTCAGTATTTATAATTACTTACTCTTTTATATTGCTTTTACGAGACGAATAAACATACATACATACAACCTCTACTGATAACGATACACATAGTACTGGGTATTTTCGAATACCTGATGATTTCAAAATCAAATAGAATATAATTTTTTCGAATCGAATCTCGAATACTTGGAATATGTCTAATTGTATATTTTCATTGTGATGGGTCCTCGAGAAACATGGAATACTGGAAAAAAAGAATCTATCATTCAGACAGTTTTCTAAGAAACATGTTTCGTTAATAGTTGTCAGAATTGTATATTTTAAATATGTATTCACAAAAAATGGGGATAATTCATATCGATACAGGATGGCGGAGATTCCAAATTATCGTCTGGACCGATTCGAATATTATGGTTTAATTACATTTGAACCCACGTACATTTGAACCCATGACAATTGCACCTGTATGCTATTGCACCTATGGAATTTTTTTTGTTTCACGGATAGTTAAACCCATACTAACCCTAACCCATGGGTTTTAGCACCCGCATATAGATGGAACCCGTGGATATACGCATGGGTTCAAATGTACATGGGTTCAAATGTACGGTCACCGAATATTATATTCGGTTCAAATATTCCATTTAATACCATTCCAGCCCTAACTATAAATAATAAAAAGGTATGCATAAAATTTGATACATGTCTACAAGTAATTTTCGACACATGCGTGGTACAACACTATCCTAACGAGATTTTAATTTCACGTTTCGGGGAATTATGATCTCAGAATTTGTTTCGTGACAGATATAAATTTCTAAGACGATAAAAATGAGAGAATTGTATATAAATTGATCCTCAAATTGAGTGATCCAAAAAACAGCACGCAGGAGAGTTTGGAACATATTCTAGATTAACTTAGGTACTCCCGTAGTATGTGAACCAAGATGGCGGACACTGGAACTGGTAGTAGTATGAACACCAGGTTAGGGTTAGGTTAGACCATAATTTCAGGTACAAATACATACAGCATTAATTTATAGTAAAAATCACAAACATATGTGTTTGATAAGACCATACTCAGTATTTGTACAATCCCAAGTCTCCATGTTTTGTCCAAACGTGGCAAATATCTCCCTAAACCATCCATTGAATAGATCAAGTACGTATATTGATAACACGATACTTTTTAATCTATACTGGGCCATGTTTTGTCCAATCATGGCAAAATATCTTTCCATAACATCTATCTAATTTATCAAAAATGTCAAAACACCAGTTATTTTGGGAATATCCCATTTTAATAATGTATGTGTAGCAGGCAGTTTGCGGGAAAGCTAATGGAATAAGCGAAAAGGTATTGTACATATGCAAAACATCATCAGGTGCCAGAAGTTGTTTTCTTATGCAAAAGGTCGAAGGTTCAAGACCCGTATCTCACACGACCGTGATTTTTGTCTCGGATGTCACGTGACAAGAATCGTAAGTCGTAAAATGTTATTTAAACGTTTCGTCTGCGACTGAAACTACTGTTACGTAAGGAATTACTATTTTGTAACAACTGACCGTGATTTTTGTCTCGGATGTCACGTGACACGAATCGTAAGTAAAATGTTATTTAAACGTTTCGTCTGCGACTAAAACTACTGTTACGTAAGGAATTACTATTTTGTAACAACTGAATCTTTAACCTGTGATACCACCATGTTAAATACCAAGAATTAGTCTAGAGCAGAGATAAGCAGTTACTTTTCTGCGTGTGCCAGTTGCAGATAATAGACTTCGTTACTGAACCGGGGGCCTAAAACTCAATATGAAAAACTATGAACAGAAATGCAGTTGATTGACAACAACCGCGATAACGTTTAGGTAATAGAAAGCACAATGTAACAATTATTTATCATAACGGTATTTCATCGATATAATTATATCCATAAAAACTATACTCGTAATTTCAGCTTGCACAAGTGGGACGGATGGAACACTTCAATGGCTGGATCCGGCCCGCGGGCCGTAATATTTGCACACCCCTGGACTAATGCAACTACTCGCAATTCAATTTCATTAAACGTGAATTAAACTCACAGCTGAGCGTTAAACTTCGAACGAACGTGTTAAGTTTAGCCGACGTGATTTTTGTTTTGATTACACGATTGGCTTAACATGCTTTAACTAATTAATTAATCAAATCAAAGACGATTCTGTATTTGCTTTTCCTTTGATGATTTCACTAATTTATATATCACTTCAAAGAGGTTTTACGATTTAATTCAACTCATGCGGAACCGGGCAGAATAACGTTGAAACTATAATTAATAGCATCAATTTATAGTCTTATCCCATGATTGAAGCTTTGATGACTATTTAAGCCTATCCGCGTAGGCAAGCAAGTCTAAAAAGTATTTAATACGTTTGTTTTTTCATGCTATTGTATTTTTAAATTTGATTCTACGCCTTGATAATTTTTTCCTTGTTATATATATATATATATATACGCCGTGGCTTGCCCTGGAGTTTTCATTATATATAGTAATCTAATGAGTTCGGTAGCAAAACATGTTAATTCCAATTTATATATTCTTGAGAAATTCACTCGCATAAGACTTAACTAGCTATTAAATCATTTATATTTATCGAATTACTAAAATTCTTACCCCGCTTCCGTCCGATGGAAATGTATCCCAGTTCAGATCAGTAGTGGCTTTTCTTGTGTCTGTTAGGTTGACTGTAAATATAAAATATTGTTGTTTGTTGGCTATCATACCATCAAGACACGAAGGATGATATTTTAAGAAAATTATTTTGCATTTTTGCTGCAAAAAAGGCTCTCTAATCATTTATTAGAAACATATTTCTTCACAGATTGATGCCTTTTTAAAAAATAAAATTAGCAATTTTAGCAGAGTTACACCAACACGCAAGCCACCGATTCAAAATCTCGTTTCTGAATTCCGACTTAAAACATTTCGAGTATTAAAATATTCTTCCGTCTGCCATGGGATGTGAACTCTTCGAAGTGAGATTAAATCGATTTTCAAGCATATAGACAGTGACCGGAAAATGCAGGCATAAGCATCTCCATAATGTGGGCGGTAATATAGAGTCAATGGATTCCAATTTTTTTCGACACATTCCTCCCTTGCCCCAATTTTTAAGCTCCTGATTCCCCCCTCACTACGCAAAGACTCAATTTTCATTTGTTATTTAATCTTTGACGGAACATTTGCTGGAGTCAAGTGCAAATTGTAATCGAATTATAGAGCTTCACCGTATTCTAATAACGCTTGTATAAGGTCTTGTTCTGAGCCAAATGCTCATAAAAGGCGACGTAAAAAAGAATTCTTATTCGCTCCAACGTGTTCCCATGCCTTTTGTTCACGTCATAATAACTAATAACCAGGTTTTCCCGCCACCTGCGTTGATTCTCATAATAAACTGAATATAATGGTGAATATTAGCTGCCAATTTTGGTAAAAAAAAAAACGGGTAGAAATAAAGTCTATTTTTGCTTATAAGAACTTTTGATTTGATATATTGTTTTTTTTTATTCTCATTTAGCGTCGATGAATTATTTTGCATGCGACTAGGGTAAATGGTATGGCGCGGTAATAGAAATTCAAATCAACCAACTGATCAAAATTGGCAAATGCCACAGAAAAACAAAAATTCCGAATTTACATAACGAAATTACTAACACAATGACAGAAAGAAAGATGCAGTACAGCTATCTTTGTGTTTAGTTAAAAATTCGTTCAAATTACTGTTTTAATAACTATTTAATGTCAGTTAATTTTCTGAATTTTGGTATATTGTCATTACCATGTATACATTGTTGTTAAGCTTCAGTATTGTTACACAGTCACGCAGTTTTCGTCTGCTTTTGACAATAACGTGGGATAATTATGAAGTAATAATACACCTTCGTGTTTCAAAAGAAACCGACTCTTGCGTCATAATGACACCCACTATTGTGGGACAATATTGACTTCTAATTAAGTTTGAATTTGAAAATTTGAAGTTTTTGGAATAGTCAGACATGGGTGAGGCCATTGGAACAAAAGTGGACAAAAAAACGTCACAACTAGAATTTCGACGCCATAATACCATCTTCAGAAGCGGGCGGAATATGTGGCGCGCTGATTTAAAAAGCGACGTCATAGATACGAAACATGACGTCATAAAAACGTTCTTGAGAACGAAAGAATAGTAGATTACTCATTAAATTAGATGTTATTTAAATTATATAGCAGATGGGAATAAAAATTGGCGCCATAATACCATTTCAAGTGGGAGATGAATATGTATGTATAAATGGTGACGTCATAGACACGAAACATGACGTCATAAAACACTCTGAAGGAAGACAATGGATTCTTTATTAACTTAGTTGCCACGTGAGATAATTTGGACCATACATAAGGTAAAATATATTTTTGAAAACTTAATAAATTCATTTATTCAGATATTTAATTAAGAATAACATAATTTATTCCCATGAAATTGGAAGTATCTTTATAATTTAGTTGTCACAACGATGCATAAACGAGATAGTATCAAAGTGATAAATAGGAATAGATAATTTCTTTCCACTAAAATTCAAACATATTTACGAGTTTTCGGTAGTGAGATCCAAGTCTGACTTCCCCAGGCAAAACAAGAAATAAGTTTAAAGCAGTAGAGCAAGGGTATGCAACCTACGGTCCGCGGGCTGGAGTAACATAATCCGGCCCGCGACGCTTCACTGAATTATAGTAACAAAACAGCTGTTTTGACGATTATATTTTTCACGTTACACAATTCACTGTGAGACGCGTGTAGACTAGATTATATTATACTCTTACAAGTATAAAATTCACAATTACTCGTTTAATGAGCCTATATTTTAATTATAATTAGACAAATGGCAACAAAACGCAGAAAAGTTGATGCTAAGTACAAAGAGTTCAATGGCACCGAAAATACAATGCAATGAGAATAGAAATCTATATCCTATTCGAGAGATGTATCACTGCTTGATTTTTATTATAAAAAGTATAATCCGTTCGGTTTTCAGTTTTTTTTAAATATGTGCGGCCCGCCAATGACTTGCAACCCCTATTTTGGCCCGCGAGTGACAAAAGGTTGCCGACCCCTGCAGTAGAGTATCTGCATTTGAATACACAATGTCTCAGTACTCTCCATCCAGCTATTTATATGCACAAAAAATACCAAATGTTCTTACCTTCGGTCGACAATGACATCGGCAGGATGATCCAAATTACGCCGCAAAAAAGTAACGCGAGTTCCGCGTAATCCATGATTAATTCCCCGTCTTGGAAAACTGAATTTTCTCTGCAATTTCTGTATTTGATTCCCTTGTATATATCCAACTTTCAAACGTATCAAAATTTACAGTATAAATTAAAGTCAGCAATGCAATATAATCTATTTATATTATATTTATCTATTTATCAATTCTCTGTAAAAAACTTCCTTATAACAGTTAAACGTATATTTTTTTTTGTTTGAATTATTTTTCATAACCAGTGTTTTAAACTAGACGTTAAGCTCGGAACCTCTCATATTTACGCAAGTTGTGACGTTTCCGCAACCAAAATAGATCAAATATTTTCATACTTGCAAAATCTGCCTAAAGATTTACAGTGCTAACTTCAAGTCGCCCTTGTCGGCCGCGACTTTTCATTTGAATATAAATTCTTAAAATAGAGGTTTCCATCCTTAATTCCTTCATTTGTCATTGGAAAAAGTAAAATTAACCCTCAGCTGTGTATGATGTCTATTGCAATCTTACTGTGAATGGAGTGTAAAACATGGTCTGCGTTGTATCCACAACTGCACGAGGTACTTCTAAATCTTCTATGCGGTCAACAGTCACATTTAGCAATGTACTTTCTTGCTAGCAAAATTTGCTTGGACTTGTTAGAAATATTAATGGTTCCAATGGCTTTTTGAGTAGCGTCCTTAACAGATACCATATCGGGCTGCCATATAGACCGTAAGTTAGAAATAGGGATGGATATACGGCCAAAATATCTTACATATTGTTATATAGACAGCAGCGTGAAAATAAAATAGATATAAATGATCCTAATTGACATTCGAATAGCCTTTCAACAACAAAATAATATTCGCTGCTATGCAGATACTACTGACATTGCCACAGACAAGTTTATCCCATAAAATGTCTTGCAACTATCACGATTTCTCGAAACATTGAAACTCACATCGTGTATAATGAATCATTCCCAGAGCGGTGATAAACATGCATCAAAAACATATGCCTATGTGTCGTTTCCAGTCCCCACCCGGCCATCAATCTTATTAACATATTTGCATGTAAATGACAAGGGGGAAAGAGAGAGAGCGATTTTCGCTCTCGCATACGCTGCTACGTGAATTTTGATGCCCAAAGAATATTTCCAAGTATCTCAGAGTTATTAAGAATTTATAAGTTTTAACAAGCTGTCAGACCCCTCGACCTAAACTAAGAGGGTACTGGTTGAAAAATTGCAAAATTTCCTCAATGCAAGATCTCACGCCTTCATCTAAAAGTGGAAGGAGTGCTTTCAGTACACTTGTACTATTATGACAAGCACAGATATTTCTTACACAAATGTTACCAAAGCAAGATCCCGAGCTATCAACCAAAAGGGGAAAGCGTACTTATAGAAGAGTTACAAGTTCGTTCCTATCAAAGTTCTAAGCCCTCAACTAAATATGAAAAAAGAGCAAGCGAATTTCGATCTCGCATACGACGCTGCGTGAAGTTTATTTCCGAAGGTATTTTTAACTATCAGTTCGGTTACGTGAGATGAAATACGTTTTAGGCTTGTGTGCAAATAGATTTGTATGCATATAATGCAGGGGACGGGAATGAACAACACTATTTTGTTCAGAAGTCTAGTACTCGATTCTTATCAGAAGAAGTCTGACTTTGGTTAGACAAAACATCGCGGTAACATATCTGTGCCCTTTGCTTCTCGATAACCATCTTTGTTTTCTCGCGACTTCCCTTCCCCAGTAAAACTGTAAGTTTCATTTTTTTCTCGTATTTTCTGTGTTTATTTGTTTTTTTATTTATTTACTGGTTGAAAAAACTAAACTTAACTTACAAAAACTTGACTTTGTGCCCTGTAACAACTTTATCCACCATTAACTCATCCAACCAACTAACTATTCCATTCATATGCCCAATATGGAAAGGAGACCGGACAAAAAGTTGTTCTCCGTATGATCAAATACTATCAGTGACTTTACCTTGTGATAAATTGAAATTTCGACTTTGTTTTAAATATTATTCAGTAGAACAGTTCAAAATTAGATTGAAGCAGGAGTTCTGAACCCTCAACTTAAAGTTGAAAAATTATTGATAAAAACTGCAGGCTTACTAGATATAGAAATTGAACTAATAGAAGAGTTCACACAGAAAGCTCCAACCTTCAACTAAAGTTTACTAAACATAGCACTGATAGAAGATTACCATTATTATTCCAGTTCCTCTCCGTCCGACAATCCCTTCTACAGTTCTAATCTAAACCTTCGGCGGACGTCGACACGTGCGACTGGATTATTTCCATCGTCCAACGCCGTCTAATATCAGACTTTTTTTCTTCGACAAGTTGGCTCGCGATAATTGTATCCGTTATGTCGAGATATCGATCTCGCGTTGTGAGAGAAACAACGGTAATATATCTGAGATAGGTGTATACTTCGGCCATGCATGGCCCGGGTGTATTTATCTTAGACATAAAAAAAGTGTTAATTTGTGCATGGCCCAAGTGTTTGAGTCCTAATGAAAATTTCTGTAAAGCAATATTGTGCAAAAATAAAACGATACAGTTCCACCAAACCAACATATAGTTTCGTCTATATGCCGAATGTTCATACAGATCAGGAGAGGACAATTACTTTGCTGAGTGAGCCTGCTAAACATAATACCTTTGGTTACATGGCCGACAGGCTCAAAACTTGATATAAAAAACTATGAATAAAAAACAGTTTATTTACAACAGCTAGGCTAATGTTTACATAATGATAAGAAGAACAAAGTAACAATTGGGATCATTATGACGTTATTTTCATCTATATCTTAACATAAATCTTCTTCTTTTACAGAAATTTACATCCATAAAAACTATATTCGTAATTTTAGCAGACACACGAGGGTCGCATTGACACTTCTGTGAGCGGTAATTTGCCCATCTCTGATACAGGCAAACATTAACAGAATATTGAATGAAAAATATTTTGAGGTTTATCTTGTTACTCATAAAAAAAATTGATTGTACAGCTGCAAATAAAAAGAACCCCGTTCGTGAAATATAGGCAATGCCCAAGAGCGTAACCGTCCCAAAAAGTTGCGGCGGAGGTCCATTTTTTGTATAATGACGTAATACGACGCTTACTCCTCCCCTTTGCTCAGAAAAAGATAGATAAAAGCAGCCGCTGATGATGATATCTAAAAATGTCTTGACAAATCTCTCTGCAGATTTACTTCGCTATGTTTCCTCAGCACACCCTATCCTATCTATTAAATTGCAAATCGGAAACCTCGCATTACGTTCCAACATGACTTCGATCATTTCGATAATAAAATAAAATCTCTGACAAAAATTGCACACTACATATGCTAAACAAGTACTAGCCGCCCTGATTACGACCTCAATAAGCAAACCTAAGATATGAACAGTTCACAGCAAAACTAGCTACTTTCTATTATTTAATATCGCCCACAGAGAGGAAATCTCTTTTCGCAACCCGTTCAATTAATTCTCTGTGCGATTTTCGCGAGCCCTGGTGAGTTGACGACGACAATAATCTTTGTACTTTAAATAAACGAAGATAGTGGTAATTACATCACAATGTGCCTTGTGGGATTATGTTTTATCTTATTTTGGTCACACAAAACGTTACAGAAATAAAAGTGCGAAACTGTGATGCGAAAATTGTGAAAGCACCCGTTATTTCCTGCGCACAGCAATAGTATTGCAACATTATTGTTTTCCCATAGAAAACCATGCACAAGCGGTAGTAATGGACAAATGATCGGATTTGGTCAGCATTTTCCATACCTGTACTAAAACACTTTACTTTATGTAATCATTTTATTTCCATACCGATAAACTTCATTAAACCAATGCTATAGCCATCGCGTTAATAGCAGAACATTCGCTTTATCAAACATTTTTGGTGTCTACATAGCTTTGGTGTAATCCGCCAAATACATATTCAAAACATCGGCAACCCATATCAATTGCTTTCCACCAATTATACATGATTTGCTGAGAGTAAGCCTGGTTAGCTACCCGTAATCAAACCTTTGTACGATATTTCGCAAGCCCTGGTGAGTTGACGACGACAATCATCTTTGTACTTTAAATAAACAAAGATAGTGGTAATTACATCACAATGTGCATTGTTGGGTTTAGTTTTTATCTCTTTTTTTTGGTCACAAAACGTTACAGAAATAAATGTGCGAAAGAGTGATAAAGTATTTTGAAGTTTTTCCATTATTTCGTGCGCACTGTTGTTCCTGGAGCTGGTTTCTCAAATTTGAAAACCATGGACCGCCACCGGGAAAATATTTTGGCGCCACGTTGAAATAGATACCTCTCGCAATGACAGTTATCAAATCAAGTGTGGATTGTTTAATTATTATTTGACAGTAATGCATTATTTTTTTTCGAAAGAAGGGGGGGGGGGTTAATTTTCAAGCCGGCCAAATAAAATACCTATCAGAAACAATTTGAAATAAAACTTTCATCAAAATAAGAATTAGTACTTTACTTGAAACTCCCTCTTTTTTGACTTTTATTATCGCACACAGAGAGGAAATCTCTTTTCGCAACCCGTAATCAATTCTCTGTGCGATATTTCGCGAGCCCTGGTGAGTTGACGACGACAATAATCTTTGTACTTTAAATAAACGAAGATAGTGGTAATTACATCACAATGTGCCTTGTGGGATTATGTTTTATCTTATTTTGGTCACACAGAACGTTACAGAGATAAATGTGCAAAGTTTTGTAACCGCGAAATGTGCCAATTTTACCCAATACTGCAACATAAATAATCGCCTATCTTATCAGTAAAATTTATCTAAAACCGGACTGAAGCGCAGAAGATAACAGTGATCTCTGGGTTTCTAATCTCATTTTGGTCGCACAAAACGTTACAGAAATAAATGTGCAATATTTTTATAAACGCAAAATGTGCCAACTTTTTTTACGCGATACTGCGACATGAATGTTCGCTCCTCTTATCAGTGAAATCCAGATAAAAATAAACTTAAACAAGATTATCGGCAGGGCTTTATACAAAAGAACTAAAAACTATGATGAAAAAAACTTTCGTAAACTTGTGTCAAGATTCTTTCGTCGATCTCTGCAGTGATTAACCTATAATCCTATATGTATGTATCTCTTTCCACAAATGTAGGATAAACTCGACAGTGT